TTTTGAATAAGCGTCGGGTCATAAATCAATTACGTTGCTTATTGTTCTTTGCTCCGAAAACTCTTCATGTTTCCAAGCAAAGAGGGGCAGCTGTAAGCACGTAATTTTTGACCCGCGCAACTTTTAAAAGTAGTATTTCAAAAAATATTTGTTTATTTTTTTATTTTTTATAGGATTTCAGTCAACTTTTAATTTTTATTTTAAAATATAAGTTTGAAAACACAAAAATAGTTTTATAACATTTTTTTTAGCTTATTAGTATTTTATAATATTTATAACATTTTTTTTAAAAAAAAACCAAAAATATTTTTATTTTAATATATAGTTCACTTTAATAATGTATTCTTATTAACTAAGATTAATTAGTATATTTTGGTAGTTTTTTTATTTTTTATTTTTTATTTTTATTCAATGAGAAAGAACTGAATTTGGGCCAAATGGGAGCTCATTTTCGGATTCTAGTGGCCCAGCAAGACAAAAGCCCATTTTTTCCAATCCCTTTTAGCCCAAATCCTTTTCTCACCCATCAAACCCCTCCCTTAATCATAGCCACTGATCTACTTTCATTCAAGGGCCAATATTAATTCCCCACCCCAAATAAAACCTAACTATTCTCCTAATTCCAAAACAGAAAGGAAGCAGCCGCAACCTGCACAAAAAAAAGGGGCAAAGAGTGAAAAAAAAAGGAACGGAGGGGAGATTAAGGAAACAAAGGAAGGGGAAAGGGAATTGGAAAGCAGCAACGGGTAGGAATGGGGGAAAGTTACAAAAACAGAGGGAATAATTGAGGGAAAAAGCTACAAAATCTCATTACCTCGAAACGAAAACAGTGTGTTTATTTTTCCATCCTTCTTCTCGCACGTTACACAATTTCGAGTTGGGTTCATTTGATTCGAGTTTTTCGACGAGTTTCGAGGTCGTCGAAGGTCGTAGGCCGAGGTTTCCGGGTAGATTCGCGGTTCCGTCGAGGTTGTCGCTGTCTAAGTTTTTCGGTGTTAAGCATTTTCAGATTTTATTTGGCAAAATATATCTAAGGTCCGTTTCTTTATTTGCGACTTTATTTTGTTCTTATAATGCTTGCCATTTTGTCATTTGTTCTATGTCAGCACATTTTTTTTATCTTGATTGATTAATCAATTTCCTTGAAATAATTTGTTTGAGTTGCTTTGGGTCTGTGACGGTGATTTAGATGAATTAGTTTCCATTATTGTTTGGCCTTGATTTGTGAAATAACATGCTGGGAAGATAACTATGAAAGCACAAAGAGTTGTGGGCTTTCTGTTGATTTAAACTGATAAATAATGGACTGTAGAAGTTAGTTCTCAAAAACTAAAATGGACAATATGGTAGGCCGAATGATTTGTTCTTATACAACCCAATATAATAAGAGTTATAATCTGGCCCTATTATATAATAGGTAATCGCTTGATAACTCCGTAATCTTGTTGCTGCTTCAGTTATTCCTTAACTCATTAATCCCTTCATTTAATTCACCACTAGTCTAGTGATTGGAAAAATAGTCCTAAGAGGCAGACTATTAGCAATTCATTGTTGTAAATATTTCTAACAACTTAGTTGTATAATTGATCTCATGAATTCTTTGGCTATGATCGAGGTCACCTCTTCCCCAACAAATTTCCATAACTCATGATCCTCATATTTGAATCTCAAATTAGTTTAGGAAATGAACAACTCTAGAACATCTTAGCTTGCTTTAGGTGCGTTTAATAAATTATCGTGATCATGGGTACGGTTCCCGTAGCATGGTCACGATGCATAACCCCAATTCGAGTGTGTGTTTCAAGTGACTCGACCTCAACTTCAAACAATAATAATAAAATAAACATGTTATAAATCACGGGTGCATTTCATGTGGCGCGGTTTGCAATGTGTATCAAAACGACAAGTGTACGACAACGTGACTTGTTCCAGAAATAAATTTCATAAATATTAAAAGCGATATAAAAGCGGTAATGCACAAAAGGTTTCAAATATGTATAAATTAGATAATTTGGCCAATTATTACTAGTTAGGCGACCGTGCTAAAATCACGGAATTCGGGAGTGCCTCACACCTTCTCCCGGGTTAACAGAATTCCTTACTCGGTCTTCTGTGTTCGCGGACCATAAATAGAGTCAAATTTCCTTGATTTGGGATTTAAAATAAACCGGTGACTTGGGACACCATAAATTATTCCAAGTGGCGACTCTGATAAATAAATAATCCCATTTCGATTAATGTCACTTTAATTGGAAAAACTCCCTTATCCCCTATCCCCTCGGGAAAAAGGAGGTGTGACAAATAGTTCTATACTTCTATTGCTCTATAAAATCTTATCTAAAATTAACAATATCTCAAGAAAGATTAAATGAGTTGACTATATTATCAATTGAAAATGAATTATTAGGGAAAATCGATTATAAAAAGGATTATTAACAATTTTGTATTTAAAAAAGCTAGAAAAATAGACTTTAAATAAAAACATATCGTATAACTTTCTTTTAAAAATTTAGGCCTCATATTAAACTTTGGCTTTAGGCCCCGCCCCGCATATACTTGAGCCGTCCCTGCTCACTTTCCCAGTTTCAAATTTCAGTCTATAATTTAATGATTTAAGTAATAATATGCTCCATCGGTGTAAATAATATTTACACCGTCATGTTACTTTTACCTGTTGTAGCAGGTAGTGTATCTTATTTTCAAGATTACAAATCTCACATCTCAAATAAATTTACCTATAGATATATGTTAGGTGACCTGATAGTATAAAATATTCTTTACAGTGATGAATAAATGATGACGCATATTCTTTATTTGAAGAGACTGTCAAGAGGACAATGTATTGCAGATATATTTTCTTAAAAAGCTTTAGGATTAGTAACTCTTTAAACACGATGAGAAGTTACAAAAAAAGTACTAGGTTCGGCAATTACAGTGAGTCTGATTGTTCTAAATATCTTTTTACACACTCAGCATATTAAAACTTAAAAGTTACATTAGGATGAAGTCGTTATTTGAGACCACGAATTGGACGCCCTAAGTTTCATTAGTTGAAAGAGTTTCCATCTTACTGTTCTTGAGTCCTTTGACTCATTGGCAGCAATTAAGGGATCGATATAATCCTGTGAAAATTCAAGTATAATGCTGAAATAGTGGAATAGAAATCCTTAGATATGGTTCATATAATTCTAGCTGAAGAAGAGAGGCAGACACCTTAGCTTCAGGCCATATCATTTTATTGACACATTTTCATAATATATATATTTATACTACTAACAACTGAACCTTGACTTTGATTTTATTCTATTAAAATTAAAACCCTTTCCCCTTGAAATAAGAAATGAATGTTTGAACTGTGCCAATGGAATCTTGACAGTGATTACAAAGTATGATACATTTGTTGATTACAAGGGCTTGTAAGACATCCACCTCTTGAGCATGGCCAGACATTCACGAGGCTTGTACTCTGGTGCAGTATGGCCTGCCCCCTATAACAAAATAATACAATTTAAACATCAATTTCACAATTTTTTATCTGCAAACTTAAGCGAGAAAAGAAAGTGAAAGAGATAGATTGAGAGACTAGTTCAGTAGGAGATTCTCTTGCCTTCACTGTAACAAATGTCATCCGATTTGAGTAACTTCTCGTGTAACTGAGATTGTTCAAAAGAAAGAAAAAAAAAGAGTTTAAGTTCTATACACTGCTAGAGTTTATGATTAGTGTACAATGTCTTTGATCAAGAACTAACCCGGCAACTTGATTGTCAACGATCCACGGTCGCCAATCATCAACAATGGAGTAGTTAAGAGATTTTATCCATGCTTGAGTTGATAGGAAGGTAACAACCTTGTCATGATCTCCACCGCTTAATTCAAAAAACATAGAAAAGCAACTATTTTATTTCACAGAGATAATAATCTTCAACTATTTGTGTTGGTAGTTATTCCCATCTTGCAAACACAGTATTCTTCGGTGGCGGACGCACGTGGCGGCAAGCGGGTTCAACTATCTTCAGTGGCGGACGCACGTCAAAAATTAATACAGTGTATATGTATAAATTAGGATTAAAGCTGCGTAAATTTTGTTTAAATATTTTATTTGAACCCACTTGACAACTACAATTTTACGACTAAAGTTATGTACTTCTACGATTGAACCCGCTTGCACAAAATCTTGGGTCCGCCACTGGTATTCTTACTCAACCTGTATATAAGAGATCTGTAACCTTTAGCACTGAGGTTTGCATGATATGGTATGCTACTCATGACTGTCTTTTGGTATTGCAAACTTGCACATCTCACCCATTTTCCAATAGTTCCCTGTAATCAAATTGATCATATTTTAGTTTTGTGTAGCACACTTTGTCATATTTTGTTATTCTTCAACAACTACCGTAGAAAAGGGCAGCCCGGCCGATTCACGCAGGGTCTGGGGAAGGCCGCACCCCAAGGAGTTGTGATGTAGACAACTTACCCTAATGTAAGCATTACTGCTTCCACGGCGGGAACTCGTGACCTATTGATCGCACAGAGACAACTTTACAATTGCTCCAAGGCTCCCCTTACCAACAAGAACTAACGTACCTTTCGGATATGGAGGGCCTCTCTAACTTGGCTATCATCAGCCCAATGAGAAGAAAGTATGTACCAATCATTCTAAATCAAGTGCAAGTTGTAAATTCTTGTAAGTATATCAGTGAAACAAAAAACCGATAGCATAAAGAATGCGAGACTATGTTGATGAGTACCCACGCGACATTTTAGTGCAGGAAGTTGTTGAGGATTGTTAAGTTGATGAAACTTCACATTAAGAGATCTTTTTTGACCAAACAATAGGTGTGGCTTTGGTGAAGCAAACTGACAATTGGGCTCCAGAATATGGGGATTGTTAATTCTTTTCAGAAGCTGCATATGGTCAGTATGTTAATGAACCTGTCAATGCCAAATAAAACAAGCAGATGATATTTGATTTTCCTCAAAATAGGATCCAACCTCTTGAAAAGTCTGAACATCTTGCAAACACTGTGTATTGCTTGGATCAGTATTTTGGTACACTCCTTTACAGTTTCTCTTCAATGACTATTTGAGAAAGGGAAATCAATTAGTTCTAACGGCAATGTAAGCAAATTAAATAAAGCGCATAACTGAAGGTGGGACTTATTTAACATGTTATATAACACCAAAGGAAAACCAACCTCATAGAGTTCATCAGAAATAAGTCCCATTCCATAAACAAATGGAATCTCGTAATTCTTTTCACCTTTAAAAGTCGATGGATTTCCGAGTAAATATCCCTGAAACCATTTGAAGAGAGATATCAGGTCTTACATTTTGCAAATCAGCTGACATTCTTCAGTGACTTTTATTTTTGTGTGATGGGCTGATGAGGGCGGGTCAAGCAGGACTGGCAGACTTCTAGGCTGACAAGCTTATGAAGAAGGGGTGCACATGTCACCTTAGACGAATCTCACATCGGAATGGGAGAAGAAAGTGATGAGCTTTATAAGGCACTACACAAGTACACATGGTACGCGCGCTTTTGGGGCTCGAGGTGACATAGCCCGAAAGACAAATCCGTGCGGGTCTAGGCCCAAAGCGGACAATAAGTGCTATGAGCTTGAGTCGTGACATTCTGATAACAATTTCGTTACAAATTCTGAGTTGGTATATAATCCGTCTACTTATCCCTAAGGGAAAAGAGAATAAATATAAGAAAAATGACAAACCTTAAGATCCATAAATGGTTTGATTCCCATTTCATTCTCTGCATATCACAAGGCCACAAAATGTGAGAGCATAGTACAAGAACTGAACATCTTACCTATTTGAGGGCAAATATAGTCTTACTAGTTTCTATAATTTGAGTAATGATGGGAACGAGCATCCCCGAATACGAGTCGCCGGCAACATACAATGGATTTTTTAAGAATTCTGGGTGATCAAGGAACCACTGCAAACAAATTAAATTATTGGCTGTTCTTCTTATTGAATAACATTGAAGGGCAAAGGAGAAAATAAATTTAACTAATAATTTGGTGAAGAATCTAATTACCCTGTAAAGGAACTCATATGCTTGATCACTTGCTTGTAAATTTGATGATTGTAAAGCTGCTGGAGTTCTTGCATAGGAAAATCCAGTGCCCACTGGTAAGTCTAAGAAAATAATGCTTGCCACCTAATAATTCCATCATATTTTCAACATTTTGTGCTGTGCAGAAACCTTATGTACATATAACAGTTATAATTCACAATCAAGTACTCACCTTTGTCCATGAGTAAGGATTCAGTATCATTGTAGGCAAACTCCCATTGTATTCCACTGGCTCAAAAGTTATTGGTCCTTCATATATTCATAAGCTAAAAAGTTAGTAAGGGAGTAACCTAAATGTCTTGTCGAAAGCCAGAAAATTTGGTGATTCAATTCCAGTATAACACTATTCTGGGGTGTTCTAAATGATCACAACCCAAAGTCTACCCTTTAGCTTGTAGTGTGAAATCAAGAGCTTTAATTTCTTCGGTCAAATAAAGGGGCTAATCCCACGTATAGTTACTGAATTTTACCCGCTATAACTCTTGAGTGTGTGAACAAAGTCCCACATTGCTAAGTGCAAAGATTGTGAGGCAACATATAAGATTAGGGATCTGTTAATGACGAGAGGCCTTTTGGGAAAAACCATGTGGGCTTCGTCTAAAGCGGACAATGTCATACCATGAAAATTATCTTCGGGGTAGTTGAGCCCGACACCTGGTATCAGAGCTCAGATTCAACATGATGAATATGGTGATGGCAGATAAATACTCTGATAATGTGGGTGGCACACATGAATCTCGAAAATTGACCCGTGGAATGGTGATAGGCCACGTGAAACTTAGTTCGAGGGGAGATTGTTGAGTGTGTGAATAAAGTCCTGCATTGACAGCTAAAAAAATTGGAAGCCTATATATAAGGTGCAACGATCTCTAAAAAAAACGAGAGACCTTTTAGAAAAACGTGCAAGCTTGCCCAAAACAAGAAAATATTATACCATGTTATTAGGCCGTTTTAGTCCAAGAATAACATAAAGTTAAAAGACTATTTTTTGTCATAATAAACTGAACTTAATTTACCCACCACGAAAGTGAAGTTATCATTTTACTAACTTACCAAATTAAAACTATCTGTCTATAGAACTTAAACTCGTATGACATACCTATCTCATAGATAAGCCCTGATAAAGCAGAGCAACCAGGGCCTCCTGTTATCCAAAGTAGAATAGGGTCTGATTCTGGATTAGACTCCGACTTTATAAAATAGTAAAATAGTTGCGTATCTTCTGAATCATCCACTCCAATATACCTGGAAACACAGTTTTAATCTAATTAATATCAAAACTTAAACCATACTAATATATAATGATTCTCACAAAGAAAACTACAAACATGTTGAGGAAACTAAAATAGCGTTATTAATTTCTAGTTTCTCACCCAGTTTCCAGTTCAAAAGGAAGCGGTCCTTTAAATCCTGGAAGTAACTTCACTGGTGAAGCAGCTATTGCAAGTTGTGAACATAGCTCTGGTACAAGAAGAACTAAAAGCAAATAACTTAGCTCTATTTTTGCCATGTTTCTTATCCAATAAAGTTTGCTTCAAGTTAAGTTATATATATATATATATATATATATATATACAGACTTTGCATTACTCGAACTTCAACAAAAAAGCTACAAGACAAAAGGGACTGTAGGTACGTGGACTACGTGTTCAAGTTGATTACCAATTACTCTAATGGGTCGTTTGGTACGGTGTATAAGAATAATGCGGAATAAGGTATATTAGTAATGTATGGATTAGTAATGCATGAGTTAGTATTGAAAGCATTAGTTATGCAGATATTATTTTTTATCTACTGTTTGGTGTGGTGTATTAAAATTATAATGCATTGCATAAATTTTTAAGAAAAATAGTAGTTTATAAAAATACCCTCCATATTCTCAAGTTTTAAGGAACTTTAAGGATAATTTTGTCTTTAACCAACCTAATGCATGCATTAGTAGCCTTGATATTACTAATACCATAATTTTTTATATATTATTTATATATAAAATAATACTAAATATGATATGATTGAAAAAATATACCAAACAAGATATTAATAATGTATAGAACTAATGCTTGCATTATTTTTTATAACGATCAAACCACCGCTAGGAAAACAGAGTTTGTTTCTTGATTTTTCTAGGCCCTGATGCAATAGTTTGACACGCACCGCGCCGAAATCAATTGTCTGTTTTCTTCGCCATTTAAATCTTTTTATTTCTTACTCCCTTTCTTCTCTTCCTATGAATAATCTATTGTGTTATCGTTAAGGGTGTCAGTGGATATTTAAAAATTAACTAAATCAATTGAACCGTATCGTATCGAATCGATTTTTAGATATTTTAAAAATAAAATCATAAATTTTTATATAAATCTGTAACTGTACCGTTAATTAGGGTAAGTTTTTTATTTTATGAAAATAAACCGAAAAAATCCTGAACCGTATCGAATAAAATTTTATGTGAAAAATATAGTTATATATTAAGTTCAAAAATAATAAAGCATTAAATTTTTCCTTGGGCCTTGAAATTATGAGAACGGTTACAAGCCAACAAGTAATTAAACTCAAAATCCTAATTCCAAACCTATTTTATTACTCCTACTGAAACTAAATTATTTTAGCATATTCACTAGTAGGACACAAATTATTCTAGTGATTATGAGTAGCAAACTACAATGTATTGAATATGTTTCCTTTCATATGATTTAGATTTATTTTTTTGAATATTAAATATTCTATTGACTTTATTCTTAAGTTCCAACTTGGTTAATATCTTTCCACTCTTGTGATTTATATTTTCTTTGTCTTTGCTTAGTTTCTTTTGCGATGGTGTAGAATTGTTGATGGATCTATACTCTGAACATCTTTCATATTTTCTTAATTCATCACCCTTTAAACAATAAAAATATCTAGAGAATTTTGTTAAGTTGTATAAAAGTACGTATGTTATTGCATTCTACTAGAGATTTTTATAAGACATTGAAAAAAATACCAAACATTAACCAAACCATACCGATATCAAAGAAAAACCGACATGATTGGAACGATTTCGTAAAGTTTAATTTTGGTTATATAATAGAATAATCGAAAAATTGATATGGTATAAATTTTATAAAATAACCAATGGAACCGAATCATTTACCCTCCTAGTTATCGTCATTGCTTCTTTTCTAGTAATTTGTTTCACGTTGTGTGATGTCTAACTTCATGCTTTGACCCTACGAAGCATTTGGAGGTCAATTGATACAAATTACGTGCACAAAAAATATGATGCAGACACGAACTTATAGTAAATAATTATATTAATCTTTCGAATTATGAATATATAACTACTGTTTGATTTAATTTGTTAGTTATATAATCGTTATTCAAAAAGATCTGGAGGTCATAATTTATTAACAAAACTAATCATGTAATTTTTTTAATTGTGCAATAAAATATAGTTGCCTAATTATATCAAGACGAAAGCAATTGACTCGGTCGAACCACATAACTAGCTCTAGATCCGTTTCTGGTTTATCAAGTGCAAGTTTAATGCCAACCTGTATATAACTTATAAGTGACTTAAAACCTTTTAACACTGAGATTCACATGATATGGTTTGCTGTTCTCGATTGTTTTTGTATATGACACACCAAAATTGTATCTGGGTTCGTTGTTCAGTACGCCGTCTGTGATGATGATACATTTATGTTTTTGTAATTAGATGATGCTTTCACTATCATACTACACTTGTTGTGAAATCTAACATACTTTTTGGACACGGAGAGCATGTCTAACGTGGTCATCATTAGCCCACTGATAAATGAGCTTGTACAAATCTGTATATAATAATCGGAAATTTTTTTTGAGTGAGTTACTAAAGTAATTTAACACTTCCTCTGCTTCAAATTTCATGAATGAAAAGAGAACTTAAAGAATATGAAATCTCACTCTAAAAATAGGTACTTATTGTCAGAATACAACTGTTTAGTGGCGGCTCGATGGAGTACGGGGCCTAAAGCTGAATCATTATTAGAGGTCTTTGGAGGCAAATATGTCAATTATATTTTACAATCAACTTCTTTTAACATTTTCTTCCGAATTGATAATATAGTTAATTTATTTAATCATTCTTGAGATATTATTGATCTTAGGTAAAATTTTATTAATTTTACTTTCGAAAAATATCTTTCTGTTGGGGAAAATGTCTTTATTTTTCTGTGTGCAATATTATATAGGTGGTACGACCCCAATTTTCCTACGTAGGTTATTGTGATGACACTTAGTATGTACGACTAGGTAAGCTTAGCAATAACAATAACTGAACAGATATAAATTAACAAATTATTGAAAGCAACTTAATAATAGATAAAAATCCTCCGAAAATAGTATCTCACAATACACGCCTCAAAACCGGTGGAACTGAGTCATAAACTCTACAGATTACAACTAGAGTACTACTACATCACTATCCGAATGAAAATGCAACACGAAGTAAAACAAGGAAGGTGACTCTGAGGCCTGCGGACGTAGAGCAGGTATACCTTGAAGTCTCCCGAGCAGCAACTATTGTCACACCCCTTTTATACCCACCAAATGATATATGTGTGTTGGATTGCGGGTTAAAGAGTTTTTTCAATTAAAGTGACAATTTAAAATAGGGATTATTTTATTGTTCAGAGTCGCCACTTGGAATTGATTTTTGGGTGTTCCAAGTCACCTTTTATTTGAATCCCTAATCAAAGAAGATTTGACTCTTTTATTATTGGTCTGCAAAAATAATATCCGGGTAAGGAATTCTGTTGACCGGGGAGAAGGTGTAAGGCATTTTTCGAGTCCCGTGGTTCTAGTACGGTCGCTTTATTGACTACAACTTGGCTTGAATTAATTTTGAATAAACTCTGATTTATTGGTTTCCATGTTTTATCTATGTACGCTTTTATTGCTTGATTAGATTTATGAAAATTATCTTGAAACGAACCATGTGTGTGTGAATCCGTTTTATTTAGTGTGTTAAAATTATGTCACGCATACTTGTACGATTAATAACACATTATTTATTAAGATTGTTTCGCTCAAAGTTGCTCGAACGCATACTTCGGTTTTAGTTTGGGAATCATGATCATGTCACACGAACGTATACATAATCACGGTGATTAATTAATTAATAACGCGCCTAAAGCATATTAATTATATTCATAATTTATTGTTTTCCTATCTTTGAGATTGTTGTGAGGCTCGAGAGTTATTATTGGAGCTATTTAAGCAATTATTTATTATGTAAAATAAGCCAAATCACTTATCTCAAACCAAGTGTTAATGTCCCGAATATTAAAATGTAAGAATAAACTAAAGCCCAAAATTACATCAATTACCATAAACCCGTGAATTTACAAAGCCCAACATGATTAACTGTCCTAAAGTTCCAATGAATTCAAACAAAGCTTCTTTAATCCAACATGATGATAATGTATTAACTATAATGAGGGGAGATAGCAAATCAACATACAACAAATATTAAATTATAAATAATGAGCTAAGCATGAATCTCAAAGATCAAGTCATGGCATAAAACAAAAGACTAGCTAATTAAGACTACTACTAAAGACAAAACAACACATAAAAGCAACAAATAACCAAAATCTTTTACTATGCTAGCAGGACCAAATTAAAATAACATAAGTGTAAAGAATGAACCTTATTGCTTGAAACTTCCTTTACATTGAAGAATCTCTACCGATGCCAAAATACAAGGAAATTGGCAACTACAATTTGACCGAAGCAAAAGCAAAACAGGGACCTTCAAACGCAACAGAGCCAATCGACCATAACCTCGACGACGACCTCAAACCAAGATCTAGACGAAAATTATACCGACTCGACTAGCTTTGGACAACTAGTTCGGGTGGGTCGTTTCGATGGATGTTTGTGGCTGGTTTTGGACGGTATTTAGTCGGATTTTTGGTGCTGATTTTGGGACGGATTTTCTGGGTTTTTTGGACTGGTATTTTAGCAATTTTGCAGCTGGTTTGGCTGCTCTTTGGAGTTGTCTTGCGGACGGTTTTTAGGACTGGTTTGGGTGACGTTTTGGGCTGAGTTTTAGGGTATTCTTGGGGGTGTTTTAGAGTTGACTTTGGGGTTATTTCTTATCGTTTTTAGTAGTTAAAACTTGGAGTTCATGGGCTGAAAATGGAACTGAAGTTGCAGCTCTTTTAGTGATGTTAGAAGCTGGTTTTTCGGACTTCTTTGTTGCGTTTTGGTGAGAAATTTGAGCTCATTTTTGGGCTAATCTTTGCTGGGTTTGAGGGCTGGACAGTGATGGTTTTAGGTGGTCTTTACAGTGGGGTTTTGGTGTGGAAATAAGGCTGATCTTGATGGAGGTCTTTTTTTTTAGAAGGAAGATGAAGGTGTGGTCTGTTAGAGTTGATAGGAGATGGGGAAGACTCCCTCTTTTAGGGAGGGATCTATCCGTTTCTTTTAGGGAATATGGGAGATGTGGGGGGTTGTGAGTGGGGACAAGCATGGGGAACAAGGGAAAGTAGAGTGAGGACAAAGTATGGTATTGG